CTTGGAGGTTTAACTGTGTCCTCAGGTCATGGGGCTGTGTCAGGTTTTTCTCTGAAGATGTTTCACTTCTCATCCAAGAAGCTTCTTCAGCTCTGACTGGATGGTGGGGAATGGAAGGATTTATATTCCTTGCAGAGAAAGCTGGTCATTTGCATCCTTTTAGAGGGTCGTTGAGGCAACTTGGAGGTTTAACTGTGTCCTCAGGTCATGGGGCTGTGTCAGGTTTTTCTCTGAAGATGTTTCACTTCTCATCCAAGAAGCTTCTTCAGCTCTGACTGGATGGTGGGGAATGGAAGGATTTATATTCCTTGCAGAGAAAGCTGGTCATTTGCATCCTTTTAGAGGGTCGTTGAGGCCACTTGGAGGTTTTATCTGTGTCCTTAAGGTCACCTGAGTGGTGCAAATGTTTCCTGTAGTCTGCAATTTTTTTTCCTCTGGGAATCTATTCCTTCTCCCACACCATTCCGAGGGTGCTCATCCCAAATTGCATAGCTCAAAGTATGGAGACCCTGAGGACACAGATAAACCTCCAAGTGACCTCAATGACTCTCTAAAAGGATGCAAATGACCAGCTTTGTCTGCAAGGAATATAAATCCTTCCATTCCCCCACCATCCAGTCAGAGCTGAAGAAGCTTCTTGGATGAGAAGTGAAACGTCTTCAAAAGAAAAACCAGAAAGCCTTTTGAAAAATCAGCTTTGGGATAAGCGATGGGCCTGGATGGTTGAGAATCTCCATAGACATTTCTTTGAACAACTTGTATATCAAATTTTACCGTTTCATGGGCGAAAATCTTCAAATAATCCATATTGGGACCTGATTGGTCTTTCTTCCTGCTGGAGAATAAACCAGATTTATTCCACAAGTTAAACTTATCATTGTTAGGGTACAGTACAGTTTAGGAAAGTTAAGTAAATAAGGTAAGGATAATTCAATCATTGTTCTTAGCAAGTTCATCTCATAAGCATTCAGTAAGTATCTGACTTCTTTTAGAAGTAGGAAAATCTAACGACAGGAACCTACTCTAATATGTTTGAATTACACAACAGGGGGCCCCAACCCCCGGGCCATGGATTGGTACTGGTCTGTGGCCTGTTAGGAACTGGGCTGCAGGTGAGCGAGCAAAGCTTTGCCCGCACATCTGTGGGATCTATGCTGTGCGTGAAACCATCCCTCCCCGCCTCCAGTCCGTGGAAAAATTATCTCCAATGAAACCCTGGTGCCAAAAAAATTTGGGGACCGCCGTGTTGCAGTATAAAATATAATACACCAAATACAACTGTAATGCTGAGATAAATACTTAGGCCCTGAACTAATACACAAAAAATGTATTTGCTTGCAGTGGTCAAATCCATTTTCATTTCTTATATTTAGCACTACAATAGCATTGCTATTTTCATCCCGGATGAAAGACTGGAGAAATATTGCAGCAGAAGAAGAGCCAGTGTCGTCCCTAATACGACACATTAATGGACATCATCCACCTCTTCTAACTTTTTGTGGTTCAGAGCATGTCGTCCAGGCAAATTGCACAATGATTTCAAAGTTGGCTTGGAAAACTAAATCAGCACTGAAGAATAGTTTTCTGGCATGATAGGTGCCAGTAATTGCTGTCATAGATATGTCTCCTCAGCTCCTTCCTTCCTTCCTTCCTTCCTTCCTTCCTTCCTTCCTTCCTTCCTTCCAGAGGTGGGTTCCTACCAGTTCGCACCAGTTCGGTAGAACCGGTTCGTCAAATCTACCAAACCGGTTAGAAGAGGTTCCAGAAGTGGACTTGGAAAGCAGGCCACACCTACATAAGAGGTTCCAAAAAATTTTGAAATCCATCACACACACACACACACACACACACAGAGAGAGAGAGAGAGAGAGAGAGAGAGAGAGAGAGAGAGAGAAAGAGAAAGAAAGAAAAAAAGAAAAAAAAGAAAGAAAAAGTGAGAGATGA